CCCCAAAACCCCAAAACCCCAAAACCCCAAAACCCCGTCTATTATAAATATCCTGAAAAGAGCTTCAATAATAAAAATTAATTTAAAAAATCCTTATGATACCACCCCTAGAGTCAAGCCAAAATGAGCATGCCCAGAGTCATGATCAAGGTAACAGCACTAAACTCTTATCTGCGAAATGGCTATAAATTAGGAATAAAATAATTTAAGAAAATAATTTTGGCAGCTGGCTTCAGCAAAAACGGAGGATATATGCATACTAAAACGAGGCCTGAACATGATTACTATAATTAGTTGCTAGAGTTTCTGCATCCCCTATTTGCATCTATAATGAGTTCTTTTATAGTGACAAATATCGTTCAAAATCAAACAACCCTAAATTTGCCCGAAGATATGCAACCCAATGGCCTTTTTGCAGAAAAAGTTAACGAAGATTTTGAAAATTTCATGAACCAAGCTGGTGTCAAGCCAGGATTCTTGACACAGACGGAAAAAAACTCCCTTCCTACCTTTAAAGCTTCCTTGGAGGCAACACATGAAGAGACAAAGCAAGTTCCTGGATTTACTGCTAATGTGACCTCCGAAGTAAACGATCAGAATGAAAACTCTATGGCACCGAAAAAGAGTCATGAGAAACTCAATAGATGGGGAAAGAAGGAGGACAAGATTCTTTGGAGAACAATTAAAGAAGATATTGCAAAAGGAGCCTACACTTTGGAATATATGAAGAATATTCCTTTGGCAAAAGCTAGAAAGAATTCACATATGGTGAATCTCAGCCAGTCTATTGGTTGGAAGACTTCTTGTAGTAAACTTCTTGGAAGAATTCAGAAGTGTATCGCTGATAGCTTCTCCGTCAGAGATGAGATCCTTTTGAGAAAATTAATCAAGAAGAAACACTACAAGAATCTTGATTATGACCATCTTTTAGAACATTTCTCAGGTAAAACTAAGGAGAGAATCATGCAAGTATGTCATGCCTTGTGTCAGGCTAAGGAACAGAAGAAACTAACCTCAGCTAAAATTATCTAAACCTTTACCTTACCTTGCTAAGCTTCAGTCTGAATGAATGCCTTGAGGATTCCTAATGGATTTCACAACAAAGCGGCTGTTGTTTACACAAAAATTAAGAATAATTCAACTGTGCTAAACTAAAAACTTGAGCTTTAGGTTTAGCCTGATGAGGGTTAATATGAAGAAGAGGGCTTTTGAGGATTGTTTGGAAAATAGTTGGTTTATTTGATACTGGATTGGATGGTTTGGGTATTATTTGGGTGTATTGTAGGTTTCTGAAGTTAGGAAATTTTGGATTTTGAAAATTTGATAAGTTTGAAGTGAATTTTTGTCAGATTAGATTTTATGAATTTTGTTGGATTTACGGATTGAGAAGGGAGATATATTGGAGATATTTTAATTGAGTATAAATGCATCAGCTTAAGATTTAAAATTTAATAGCACTTCTTTCCATTTTTGATTTTTTCTGAGATTCTTTGTATACTCTAGCCATATTTGAGTCTATTATTAGAAGGTAAACTCACTTTTATTAGATGAAAGAATTCGGATTCCTGATATATCTGAATCTATTACGTGAGAAGCCCTTGTATTTTTCTCATGTTCTAACAAATCATATAAAAATTACTTGTAATTTCTTGAATTGGCTCAATCGCTTTCTTTGAATTTCAAAATTTGCTTCTACACTTCTGGAATATTGACACAAATAAAGCACCTATCAGTAATTAATCTGATTTACCCATCATAATAAACGTGATAATAAGAGAGTTGAATAGAATGATTCCACAAAATGCATTTGTAACTTCTCCAGACCAATCTCCTTCTTTGTCTCAGACAATCATAACCGAGAGCATTAATGAGTAAATGATTTCATTCACTATTTCAATCATGTTATTTTCTGCTCTATCAAAAGGCCTGATTGTCATTAGAAACATTAAATAGACGAATTGAATTATCAGCATTCCAGCTGATAAATAGATGCACTCTATCCAGCTGAAGACGATGAGCCACCCTATAAACAAAGCTCTCCTATTCAAAGCCATAAAGGGATAGAGCCTTGCATATTTCGAATCCTTAATTCCAGTTATGAACTCTGCAAGCTTGTAGTATTTATCAGGATCGTAAAAATCTCTCTTTGAATAGAACACATAGAACGAAACTCCAATTGCTCCTAAGCATACTACTAGAACTAGTCAGGAGAAGATAAATGAGATAATCTGAGGAATGCCAGAGAAGTTGAAGTCAACAACTTCTGAGAGACTGCATATCAGGAGCAGCTGGAACCCTCCAAGAACCAGTCTGATGTAAATAATAAAGTTGAAGAGGTCTACGATCTTGATCATCACATAGTTGAAACTACATTTCTCCTCGTTTTCGTAGTTGATACATAATTTCAGTGTCATCACAAGGGGGTAGAGCACAAGGAAAAATACCATTAATATTGCAAAGCTGAAATTGTTTAGTAAGCTTGTCCTAGATTCTATGCCGATAGTTTCAAGATAAATATTTTCCTGCTCAATATCGAGCCAGTCCATTATCTCAGGAATCTTAGGAAGACTCTTTAACGGAATGAAATTAAAGTTGAACTGAAATAATTCATTTCCTAAAATCATTACTTTTACATTTCCTGGGAACGGAGTTTTAGTAAGGGGCAACAGCAAATAGAGCTGGAGCTGATTTACAATTGACCAGATAGCTGCAATAGATGATAAGTTCAAAATTGAGACGATCACTGTGGCCCCAGCACTTGCTCCAGAAACTGCCTGAGACCCTGAAGATACTTGTTGAGCGTTCTTAGAGAATTCGTAAACATTTGGAGAATATCACTTTGTTGGACTTTTAAGCATAAAATGCTTCTCACATTTTATGCATTTGTCATAGTCATTTGGATCACATTCCAAACAATGCTTGATTTCTCACTTCTTACACACACTCGGACCTAAACCAATGTAAATTTTCTGAGCATTCATGGCCAATATGCACTTACCTGTCGGAGTCTTATTAGAGCAAAGAAAGTTATTCTCAATAGTTCACTGAGAACTACATCCATCACCACTAAAAGTTAGTTCTGGACTTACCTGACTTCGTTCTTGTCATCACATGTCTCTGGTGCAATAATCACCCCATCTCCACACCTCGGCTTGCATATGCTGTTTGTATAAGTGGGAGACTTGCATATATAACCTGATTCAACCGCTCAGTTGGAATCACAGCCATCTCCACTGATTGTATTGTTGTCATCTCAAGTAGTCTTCAAGTCATCAGTCGGATTGAGGATGCCATTTCCACATTGTCTGGTTCAGCTGATAGAAACTCCTTGGCCAGTTCATAAGTAATCTCTTTCATGTTTACAATCCTTATCACACCCATCACCATCATTAGTACCTCCATCATCTCATTCTTCATCACTAGCTTTGACTCCATCTCCACATATAGACTCTCAAGTTTGGTTGTGCCATCCCTTTCACTCAAATCCAGTCTCAACTTTTCAAGCACTACTACATCCATCTCCACTCTTTTCATTCCCATCATCACAATCCTCATTATGAGCGTAGAGTCCGTCTCCTCAGACACTCTGAAATCACTCCCCTGAACCCTCGTCTGTACAGCTACTGTTATACCCAAGGAAGCAGTTTTTGTCTCATTTTACGCTATATTTATCGTTTCTGTTATCTCCTGTATTACCTCCATCGTCACATTCTTCAAGAGACTCAGGATTTCTGATCCCATCCCCTCACTTGAGTCCATAAGCTAGAAATGTGACTGTGCTGACTTACGGTTGTATAGTGGGGATGGAGAATAACCTGTGTAGTCTACAGTGGTGCTCAGTTTCAAGCTGTGGAGGACAAAGTCTGTGGAGTTTCAGTTCAAGGAACAGCCCACTTCGAAAGGACTAGTTGGAGGAGTGTAACTGTTATCTATACTTCCTGCTTTATGTCCTTCCAAGCTATGATAGATACTACATTTAAGTCCTGCTGAGTTGTTGGTCATTGCTAGCCTATTCCAGCCTCCTATGCCATCATAACCTCACTTACTCTGAACACTACTGTCACTGACTGTGACAGCCTCATCAAGACTTATAGGTAGAACTTGTCAGTTGCTGGAAAGCGGGTTAGAGGTGGGGAACGGGAGAAGACTTACTTTGGGAGAAACCTATTTTGATGGTGTAGTTAGGCTTGCTTCCGTCTGGCTGTAAGAGGGCAAGAGTGAGGACAAAAGAGGTGTGTATAGGTGGGATTTTAGGATGGTGAAATAGGTCCTTAGGAAATGAGGATTGAAAAATTCTCAGATGTACTAGTGATCCAAAGATTGGTTTAAGATCATTAGAAAATAAATGCAAAGAAATTCTGATGCTTTCTGGTCAAATCAGCGATTTATAGTCATATTTTTGGATGTATGATAAAAATAAAATAGCTTACATCAACCCTTTGAGCATTTATAGCGATGTATGAAGAATGGTTAAATTCAGTTACGAAGATCCACATCTCCAGGGAAAGATGAGTTTGGAACTGAAATGGCTACTAATATTAACATAAAATTACAAAGGTCTGGTTTATTTTAAGATATCTATAGAGTCAGACTCAGTCTTACTCGTTATCAATGAAGTGCAATCCTTGAGGGATGATATCTGGTTCCTGAGTAGTATCATCTAAAGCAAACCCATTGGAAAAAATTGGAAAAACGAAGGATTTAATTTAAAAAATGCTTTTCCCTTTCTTTTCTGAAATTTTTGTTAACTTTCATTGAAGACAAAATTTGATAACTAATTATTGCCCATAATGCTCAAAAGTTAATAAAAAATTCTGTGTTATCTTACCTGGGAACTTAAACCAGACAGTATCAGAAACATTCTCTTTATTATGTACTTCTGTGGTTGTCTCTCTAAAGTATGTATCCAAGTCTCCCTTACGGTAAGCCGGTAAAATTGAAGGTCAAGGTTCTATAGTTTACCAAGTTAGAGCCTTTTTGATATAAAATGTTCAAAATAATTTATACCCAATCACTGATGTTATCTGAAAATAATCTAGTCATCGATAAATCTTAGTTTCATTGATAATATAGCTTTTGTTTTCTAAGAGATAAGCCTAAGGTCCTTTAAAAGTGGTTAAGCACTCTATAAGCCAACTGCCTGTTAGTACTAAACTTACTGGTTTGTAAACTGGAGTGTCCTCTTAATGAGCATCGTTAGAGTAATCACTAAGACCCATTTGTTTGGTCTCATTTTCTATATATTATTTCTAAGGTGGGGTTTTGGGGTTTTGGGGTTTTGGGG